AAGATGCTATGAAGACTGCTGAAATTACAAAATAGGATTTAGAATGTTACATAAACTTAGTTAATAAAGCAGCAGCATGGTTTGGGAGGATTGACTCCAATTCTGAAAGAAGTTCTACTGTGGGTAAAATGAAATCAAACAGGATCGCATGTTACAGGAAAACATTCATGAAAGGAAGAGTCAATTGATGCAGAAAACTTTATTATTATCTCATTTTTTAAAATTGCCATAGCCACCACAGTCTTCATCAACCACCACTCTGATCAGTCAGCAGCCATCAAAATCAAGGCAAGACCCACAAACAGGAAAAAGATTATGACTTCCTGAAGGCTCAGATGACAGTTAGCATTGTTTAGAAATAAAGCACTTTAAAATTAAGGTATATGAATTCCTTTTTTAGATATAATACTATTGCACATTAATAGGCTACAGTATCGCATATATATAACTTTTACATGTACCAGAGAACCAAAAATTTAGTGTGACTCACTTAATTGTGATAGTCCCTTTATTATAGTAGTCTGAAGCTGAACTCACAATATCTCTGAGGCATGCCTGTACATTCATAATTACTCTCAAAAATGAAATTTACATCATTTTTCCAATTTCTTAAAAAAATTATTACATTTATTGGGGTGTCATTGGTTATTAAAATTATATAGGTTTCAAATGTACATTTCTATAATACATAATCTATATATTGCGCTGTGTGTTCACCACATATTTTGTTGAAAATTTAAACATCTGGGTATTCAAGAAAAACATGGAAACTCTTATGCAAAATTCTATTCCTGACTTATTTAAAAAGATAATAGAAGTCATTCACCATTTCATACGCTATATCTCAATTATGTATTGCTTTCATTTTGCTTTTTCCTCTGGTCCTTTCTATAGCAAAATAAGTTGAATTCATTTTGATGTTAGCTATTACATTTTAATAGAAAATAAAAAAGACATCATTGCTTCTGAATCCTTTGGTATATCTTCTTCTCTTCTGAAGCTCATTTTCTCTACCACTGATGTCACTTAAAATCCACATTCAGTATCAAAATTTACATCTTCATTATATTTTCCATACCAGATTACCATAATTTATACTTCATAAAAGCATGTGTTTATTTGTAAACAATAAGAAGTGTTCAGAATAGATTTTTCTCTTGTGAACTTAAGAGAAAATTAAACACAGATACATATAATGTGCCTAGTAATAAAAAATATGAGGATGTATTATAGATTGTGAGAAATGATTGAACTAAAATCTGCCTAAGTCAAGTTGGTCAATTACTTCATGATAAGAGAAGACTATTACTATAATCTAAATTTATTCTGTGTCTCTAATCAATCTTTTAACATGTTTTCTTTGCTGTTGGAGTCTCTGCCATTGTCTTTATTTTTACTTTTTTATTTTTTATTTTTATTTTTTTATACTGGAGAAAAATCTCCATGCATTTGCTAAATAGAAACATAGAAGCTCATAGCAGTAAAATTATTTACAAGTTATTTAGTTTACCATTATCCTGAAAGCATGTATTTTCTCTTTCCATATATAATACTTTGGTTTTAAACAGTTCTAAATCATCTTTCTCTTTTCTACCCTTGCCTTGGTCATTTCATTCTTGTGTTTTCTTAACAATATTATAAGCTACTCACAACTGATCTTCTAAATATTGTTTTCTCACTCACCTATAAGCTATCTTTACATCTATAGAAATTATCTTAGAAAAACAAAAGCCAAATTCTTCTCTGGTTTCCTTAACAGTCCAAATACTATTTCCTTTTGAAAGTAACCCCTTACCTCACTAGAAAAATTTAGATTCTTCCTCCTTTAAATATTGTCAGTATTTCAAAATAGAATACTGTGTTTTGTTACATAACAATTAAATATTATATAATTATGAATTATAATATATAGTTACACACACATATAGTATACACCCACAAATCACTTAAAAGTTTTTAAAGACCAATACATTAAGCACTGTAAGAATTAAGAACAAAAGCTATATTGAATGTTTCCAGGATCAAGGAGAAAGTGTTTCCTGATCATAAAGACTTTTTCTTAAGGACCTTAACATGCTTAGCGGCTTTGGAAATTTGTGTAAAAAGTTGGAAAATCCTAGATTTTATAAAACTTTGTTAAATCCTAGATTCTGGGTAACCATTGACGTAAATATGAAGCCAACCCTGGAAATAAGAACTGCACTTATTTGCCCTCAGTGGAAATACACCCACATTAGTATCAGATATAACCAGAGTAAAATCAGAGTAAAAAATAGAAAGATGCTTATTGTGCTGATTCTCAATTACCTCATTTGTCAATTGATAATAATAGTATAGAAAGATATTATATAAATTAAGTGAGATAAAATGTTGTATATGTTTTGTAACTACAGAAAGAAAGAAATGCATATTAGTTCCTACTCTCCTGCTCTTCTTCCTTTCCCAGTATTTTTATGGGAACCTTCAAAATTGCTGTGTTCAGGACATTTTTATGATCTTCCAGTTTAGAGAGCAAGCAGATAAGTACACTCACAGCAGAAATACCTCTGTGACTGTTCATACCTGGCAAGCCCAGATTTGCAAGAAAACTGCATTTTCCACTAGCTCCATGATCTTTGAAACAGTTACTTAACCTCTTTAAATCTGTTTTTCCTTCTCTACAACATAATTAATAACCCCGGCCTTGTAGCTGTGTTTTTAAGATTAGAATTATTGTATGGAAAATTCTTATAATGCAGTAATTATTTAATATTTATTATGAAAGTAATAGCCCCTCCTATATCAGACAGTTTATGAAAAACAACAACAACAACAACATTTTACTCTTTCTTCCTGCACATTTGTTTGAAAGTACATATAAAATTATGTTTGTAATGCTCCCAATTTGAGAGAGAAGGGATGTAGAATAAATATATGCTATGTTTATGTTTATTGGATATTGTATGAGTTAACTTAGAAGCTTTTTACTAGTGAGTTACAGCAAACTAAAATAACATTTTCTAAAGTTAATAAACAGTGTTCCACTAAGCAAGGTAATGCAGCTAAACCAATAAGGACAAAAACGCCATGTGTAACTTGTAGCCTTACGTACAAATAAGCCAATCAATATGTGTGTCTGTTCTGATGTATGGCTTACAGGAGATGGACAGGTAGAAGTATCTTTCATTTTTGATGACAGAAGAGTGAGGGTATGACAGAAAGGCATATCATGAAAAGATGGGTCTCTAGGCGCATTCTTGGCCTTCTGTCGCATGTGTCCTATCACTTAGGATGATATTTTGAGCTCGATTTCAACTCCAAGCTCCCCAATTGAAATGGTGGGCAGCATCAAAGGGACCAATTGCCACAACATCTATCACTGACTAATGTCTATCTACCTATTGTTGGCTAAAAGTTATCATCGGCCATTTCTATCCTGAGAGAGAATCCCCAGGCTCTGAAGTATTTGACATCGGAACCTAGGGTAGAAGATTCAGAAAAATCCATTGCTTGGCTTCACATTTTTTTTTCAGTCACTTTAATACATGTTTCCCTTTCTTTTTAAGAGCCTAGTATTAAGATACGCTTATGTATTTGTTTAAGCAGTCCTCTCATAAATTCTTCCTCCCCGCTTTTACTCCTGTATTCATTTCAGCAGCTAAATGAAACACAATTATCTTATTTATAAAGCTTCATTTGTTTTCCCAATTTGGGCATAGTGGTGTTTTTGCCTTTCTTTTGTTTTTTTTAACTTTCCAATCTTAATATATGACCATACCTCTTACTTCTTTTTAATACATCATACTCATCTGCCCTTCTTTCCTGATGTCCAAATTCCCTATTATACATTTTTAGTAACATATGGATTAGTAAAAGTGTTTATGGTGGTTTGGATCCAAAAGAAGAACCAGGTAGATGTTATAGGCCCCCCATATCTCATATACAAACCTTATGCTTACACAACTTTATCATTTCAGAGGTGAGAGCTACCTTCAAGCTATTTTTGGATAGCCTAAGAAGCCAGTGACTCCAGGTTAACAATGCACAGGTAATTTTGTTAAATTACAAATTAGTTAAAACATAAGATTCCAAAGTGGGGAAACAATAGTACCCTTCTTCTTACAAGCTGAAGGAATTTTGGTAATTTTATCAATTAAACTGTGTCCCACATAACTCATCAATAAAATGAGGCAGTTGGTTCACCTGGTGTCTGGATTCTCTTTAGTGCCAATCATCAAGGATTCCATAATTTCAGTTGCTTAAATGCTGTTATTTCATAACTCTGTACCATTCAATAATATGTCTTATCCATCTACTTGGTGTTTGAAATTCCATGCATTGAACCTTAAAAATGCCACAGGTATGTAATAAGAGAGTGATGATGATGATAGATGATAGATAGATAGATGATAGATAGAAGGATAGATGGATAGATAGATGTCAACCTTTAAAATAGGAAAGCAGGAAATTAATAACTGCAACCTTTAAAAAATCTTCCAGATACTGAATTGAGATTAGGTACTTTACATATATTATCTAATTTGTTCCTCACAAACTTTGGTGTGGTTGTAGTAGTACAATTTTATGATATACATGAAGAAATTGAACATCAAAGAAATTGACATTCTCATGTCATATGAACATGGCAGAAATGGGTTTCAGACAAATGACCCATCACCCATCATTTTCCACCATCAAATTTAACTTAAAAAAAGTATATGATTAAAACTAAAAACAAAAATGTGAATAAATAATAATAAATGGGCTTTGATGTTCATTTTTTATAAATAAAACTTAGTTTGGAAAATGGTTGGACCCTCTGCCTTTAAGTGTGTGTGTGCTCAAGTGTGTGTGTGTTCACATATAACATATATACATATTAATTGGACATTACTATTTTAACAAATGGTTTATGGTTCTCATTTTTTAAAGTTATTATTATTATTTTACCTTTTGAAGTTACTTTTAATATAGGATTTTCAGTACATTTTAGGTATTAAAACACCATCACATGCAATTACCTGTGGTGGAAGCAGTGGCAGTCTTATGAAGGCGAGAAGCATACTTAAGTCATTGCATCTCCGCTGCGTGTCATACTTGACCCACATCATTAATGCATGAAAGATCGTTTCTTCATCAGGAACATTTACATCATCACTGGCCAGGAGTTTATGGAGCTCTTCGGCTGGAAGCAGTAAAAACTCTTGATTTCTCATAACTTCCATTATGTTTTCCTGCAAGGAGAAAACACCTTGACATAAATTTGGCTCCACTTTTATTTAGTTAGCAAAGCATTTCAGAAAGAAATGAGAAAGTAGTCAATAACCTTTGTTCTCATTATAACATAATCCTTCAAACTTAATCCTTCAGAAACTAGAAGCTGTTAAGATGAAAGCATTGTAATTGTAATTGAAGTGTAAATGTAACCGAGGCAGCACGGATCTTGTAATAACTGGGGGATTATGATGTTGAGCTTTGTTATGCAGGCAGAATGTACTAAGTGATTAAATGTTCAAGTTTCAAGTGTACTGCTATATAAGATTTGGTGAATATGAAAAGGGAAGCATTTTACATTTTTTTTTTAAGCTTGACAATATTCACATGAATCAGAAAGTGGGGGGAAAATACAGAGAGGAATAACTTAAGAGGCATCATTGTTTATTCAGAAGAGAAAAAACAGGACAGATTGTCCATAGAAGTCACCATAGTCTACATGTTCCACCCTTTTATTGTCTCCTATACCCCCCTCCTCTCATGACAATTTCTCTGACTTAATTCAGATTCCCGTGAATTTCCTCCAGATTGCTGCCTTAACCTTTTAATTTCCCTGCTTCACTCTACCTTTAACTTCTCTGTTGTACCCTCTCTAATAATGCGGACACAGTATTTCTAAAACATAAATGTGCTCATGGCATGCCTCTAGAGCAGCGGTTCTCAACCTGTGTGTCGCAACCCCTTTGGGGGTCGAAAAACCCTTTCACAGGGGTCTCCTAAGACCATCGGAAAACAAAAGATATTTACATTATGATTCATAACAGTAGCAAAATTACAGTTATAGAGTAGCACGAAAATCATTTTATGGTTGGGGGTCACCACAACATGAGGAACTGTGTTAAGGGGTTGTGGCATTAGGAAGGTTGAGAACCGCTGCTAAAGTTTTTGCTTGGTTTCCTTTTGTTTTGTCTCCCTTGTCTTTGGTTCAAATCTTTTGGTTAAGCAGGCTTGTTCTTCATGAACTGACCCCTTCCTGACTATAGAACTTCATTCCCTACCTTATTTGTATTCCAGGGGCAAAAGTTACCTACTCTTCTTTCAATTCACCATACTATTCGACATGTCTTCCCTCACTTGTTCTATCGCTTACCATGACTTTTATTCAAAAGAGAATGTCAGCTTTTACTTTCTTTCAGGTCATCTGTCATATTTAGTTACATTTAATTGGCATCAAAGAATAGCTCATTTCCTGGGCATAGCTTTGTCTCCGGTATCTTCTCTGTGACTAATAACAGTGCTGTGCAAATCATAGGTGTCCAATACCTGTTGACTGAATGAACTGAGTGTCCTGAGATTTAGTGCTACCCAATTTCTCTAAAGAGCTACAGTAAGGTAAAGATGTTTACAAACAATCTTTGAAAGATGTTTTGTTCATCTATTTTTCCAGCTATTTAAAAATCTATGCTTCTATTTCACTACATACAATATTGTTTAGTTAGACCATCAGTACATAGCAAGGGATACCATTAAAAAGCAGCCCCGTGAAACTCTTAGTGGTGTCTATTGTGAATATGTTGTTCAAGGCATATTTCATTATATTTTAGAGTGTCTTTTTTATGGTGACCCCTGGGAGAAATTTCTTTCAGGTTTTAGTAGCAGGAATAATTGCACTTCTTCTGAGTCAATAGGTTCACTTTCATCATGGGCACTGTAAATTATGAAATTCATCAGATTTATCTTTTTATGTGGCCACTAGAAAAGTTAGAGTCAAACTGAAATCTCACCGATAGGAAGGCTATATCATAGCCTTTTATAGTTTGATTGATTTTTCAGACAGCTCTGATAATATCTTCATTTAATATCACTATAGCTGCATTTCTCTTTTTTTATTGTTTTATTTCTTAATCTAATTTAGAGTATATTTTTATAATTTTGTATCTTTGTAAGCCATACTACACCTTTTGGGAAGAACCAATGTTGTTTGTAAACATTGCTATAAATAAACTGGAAAATTAGGAGCTAGTATCAGATATTACTGGATCTCACATTGCCCATATATTATGTTGTTGGTTGTTTTTCTTCATGTATTTTGGAGTTCTGAAATTCTCTTTGCTCTTTTCTCCATCAAGTCTCCTTTTAATGATAGCCTGTCTAATAGTTTCCTATGTTTTCTTGTCATATAGCTTACAGAAATTGTGTTACTTGTGCTATGTTTTATTCACTAAAGAAGAAACACCAGTGCATACTAGTTTCCTTACACTTCTGGGGCAAATTAGTTAACTCTGAGTTATCTGAGAAGATCAAGTAATGAAAGACATCGAAATGTTTTTGCCTGTTAACCTTTTGTACAATAACTGTATTTTAAGGTTATTCAATCATTTATTTTACATAGATTGATTGAATGTCTAGTGTACAGTCCTGGATAATTGTAGCGAGGAGAAAAAATGGATTTTTTTGTGGTAAGCATAAAAATCCTTACCACACACGGGACACCTGTAAACTGTGCAGTGCCTAGAAAACGACTGTCCTCAGATCGGTAAAAGCAGGTTTTTCAAATGGACCTAGAACATGAGGTAGGAGTGTAAATTAGAAATTGGGAAAGAGAAAGATATGGTACTCTGACTAGGGAAAACCATATAAATAAAGGCACATTAGCAGGTAACATGGTATAAAGTACCATATTTGGTACATCAACTAGATTGAGAATAAGTGCACAAAAAAATTGTGGGAAATAATATTGAAAGGATAATTTAGACCATATAATGGAATAAATTTACTCTTAAACTTTGACAGTCCCTCCATTAAATGGGAATATATGCATACATATATCTTTTACATGTAGATTGAAATATTTATCATAAAGAAATACTTTAGCACCAAATTTAAGTTGCCACTACATAAGACACAATAGTCTTTCTTAATTACATAAAGACTAAATTACATGATCTACTTTTGCTAATTCATAATACTTTAAAATAATTTTTAACTATAAAAAATGTATAGTTTTGTTTTATTCTAAATGGACAGAATTTTATAATTTTTGTTTAACTATTTTCTGAATTTGACATTAGCATATTTTCTAATATTCATTTCCTTTGTCCCTTAATTCTATTATTGTTTTTCCCTTATTTTATTTTTGGTAATATATCAAAATACAGTGTTTCATTTGAAATTTCATTAGAAATTCATTTTATACATAATTTTAAATGTTAGCTAATGATTAATGGCAACATCAGGTGAAGCAGAATATAAGTGTACCCCTTCAATTTTCACATTTTAGTTATTGGTTTAGTTTAAAATATAGATATTAAACTATAGTAAAATATTTTATTAGTGTTTTAATAACTTGAAGATAAACTTGAATAGTGTTCCCTTAATTGATGGCTGTTACCAAAGAAATATATTGTATACTATTCTGGTTAACTCAAGGAAACTGTGCTCTGAAAGTTACTGAGTTGAAACCTATGTCTCACCATCTTGCACTTTGGGACCAGTGTTCAGTTAGAGGAAACTCTCAATCACTGCTGTAAGCTTTAGATTGGGAAGACCACCACAGAATCTCTGGCTTGATTCCAAATCTACATAGGTTATGGAACTTATTAACTGTCCATTTCAAAAGTTATTAGTTAGGAAGATGAATTCTTAGGAAGTTCGTACCATCAAATAAATGAAACACTGAAAGGTGAACCTGGAAATTAGCTACATCCTCTGGTTGAGGCTTATTATATAAGTATGAAAAATGTACAGTTTTAATCTAAAGTCATAGAATTATAAAATTATAATTCTTTAAGCATCCTTTGCAAGCAAAGTTCTGAGAGTTCCTGATATATGCATAATTCTACTATTGTCAGGAGCAAGACTGAAACGTGCACCTCTTAACTTCTGAAGAGCAGCTCCCAACACTTCACATCCACTTGGAACCTCAGAATGTGATCTTATTTGGAAAAGGGTCGTTGCAGATATAATTAGTTAAGATCAGGTCACACTAGATTTGAGTGAGCTCCAATCCAATGACTGGTGTGCTTATTAGAAAGAGACCTGAAGAGACAGACATACAGTGAGGAGAACACCATGAAAACAGAGGTGACACAAAGGGGAGAAGACGATGCGAAGGTGGCGAGGCAAAGATAAGAGTCATGCTGCCACAAGCTAAAGAATACTGAAGATTTCCAGGAACCCGTGGAAGGTGGAAAAGGCAAGGAAGAATTCTTCCCTGGAACCTTCAACGAGAGCCTGGCCCTGCTCATATCTTGATTAGACTTGTAGCCTCTAGAACTGTAAAAGAATAAATTTCTGTTGTTTTAAGCTACCCAGTTTTTGGTATATTGTTATGGCAACCCTAAGAAACTAATAAAAAGCATATGGGAAATTTTAAAAATAACTATGTTAAAAACTGTCACATACACCTAAGAAAGTATGGCAATTATTCCCAATATTTTAGATGATAATGTATTTTATAGAATGATGCCTTTAAGAAATATTAGGTTTCTCATGACCCAAAGGAGTATCAGGGAGAGTAAAAAAGGGGTC